GCCCTGCGCCTTTATGGGGCGCCCTCGGGCCCCGCCCGCTCGCCCCTGGGCCAATCCGCGAGCCGGAGGCGGCGGCGGGGACCGGAATCTTCCAGCAGTTTGTCCTCTGGTGGAGCTTCCCCGCCTCCTTTGAGTAATCGGTGCGGAGGGGGCCGCCCCTGTCCAGAACTCTCCAGACACTTCTGGGGTTCGCTGGAGACGCCGGATTCCTGGGGGATAGGGGGAGAGGCCGGACGTGATGTTGTCACTGTTGCCATGGTGACTCATTACAGCCGCCTGGGTGGAATTGACTGGAAAGGTCACCTTTGGCTCTGTTTTGTGGACATTTGGTTGTGATCTGGGGTTGTGGCCAGTTGGCTGAGATCTGGGGTTGTGGCCAGTTGGCTGAGATCTGGGGTTGTGGACAGTTCGTTGTGAGCAGACTGGCACCGTTCTGATTTTGGGGGTCGCTCTGTGGGCTGTAATTTCCCCTCCTCTGCTTGGGTGACCCAGGGAGAGACCTAGGGGCGTGTCTGGTGACGTCGTCCCCTCCAGTCGCGTTACAATGGCCGTGCTGACTCTGACCTCATGGACCAATTTAGGAATCAGAGGCTCTGTCCCAGAACAGGCTCAAAGTTGCCGGGAGGGTCGGGGTGGGGGGTGGGGGGACCCCGGCTGCTCAGTTTGGATGTTTCTGGAGCTCCCCACTCGTAGGGGCTCATCGACCTCAAGTTTTCCAAACTGGATCGAAGGCGAAGAGAGTCCAGGTGAGCCGAGAAGGCTCTGGTAGGAATAGGACAAAATGAAGGTTGTGCGTCCCCGTTGACCCTTGTTTGAAGCAGGGCCAAGACATTTCTTAGGTTTGAGGAGTTTACAGACTAGGTCTGTTGGAACCCGCCGTCCTCGCCTCAGTGTTGAGTGCTGGGATTACTAGGGTGGCCCTCCCCACACAGACCCTAGTCTGGGGGTGTGGTTTGGCAACCAGGAAAAGAGTGTCTCTTGAGGGACAGGGCCAGCTGGAATCAGCCTGGGCTCAGAATCGGGAGGACACCGCTTAAGACGGGTTTGAATGTGATACTGGCACCAAAAGACAGGAGGTATAATCAAGAGAAGGATAGAAACTGGGTGTCGAGGTGCCTGCCTGCGACCCCAGCATTGAAGACGTTGAGACGGAATGGCTACGGGGATGGGTAGTTGTTTTTGTTGTTGTTGTTGTTTTTGTTTTTTCGAGACAGGGTTTCTCTGTATTTCTTTGGAGGCTGTCCTGGAACTCGCTCTGTAGACTGGCTTCGAACTCACAGAGATCCTCCTGCCTCTGCCTCCTGAGTGCTGGGATTAAAGACGTGTGCCACCAACGCCGGCGGGGGTGGGATTTTTGTTTTAAAAATATATAGAAAATCTTCCTGTTGTGCCCTGTTTCTCAGAAAGATTGAGGCCACGTGGTGGCCCAAGCCTCTAACTTCAACATTTAGGAATGGAGGCAGGGACATTGCCTGAGCTAAGTAGTGAGACCACTGTTGGGACAGAGGTCATAACTGACCTCTTCAGAGTCAGCTAAATTACTCCACATAGGTTGCTCAGGAAGGCACTTCTGAATGGAGACCCAGTGCCTGTCTTTTTTAAGAAACGGTTTGTCGGTGTGTTTGTGTGTGTTATGTGTGAGAAAACAGGAAGCATTCTTTTTTCTTTTCTTTTCTTTTCTTTTTTCTTTTTTCTTTTTTCTTTCTTTCTTTTTTTTCTTTTTTTTTTTTTTTTGAGACAGGGTTTCTCTGTATTGCTTTGGAGCCTGTCCTGGCACTCGCTCTGGAGACTAGGCTGGCCTCAAACTGACAGAGATCGCCTGTCTCTGCTTCCACAGTGCTGGGATTAAAGGTGTTCGCCAACAACACCCGACAGGAAGCATTCTTAACTGTCCTATATTTGGCCCCTAATATTTCTTTTAAGTAGTTTCAGAACAAAATCTTAGGGCACAGGTAGACAGGCACAGTAAAACATACCACTGTCATAGGAACGCTAGCATTGACTTAGGCCCGGGAGGAATGGAGAGCATAGATCCACCTTCCTTCCACCCTCGGAGTGGCTTCGAGCACTGGTGTCTATCATCACCGTGAAAGCCAGGCCTGGCATGTATGTGAACCTGTGCTAACAGCAACATTATTTGTAATATTGAAGTGGAAACAAACCCGTACCCGTGGGAGACGATTGTGTGAGGGAAGGTTGGAAGACACATAAAATGTACATTGTTCAGTCTCAGAAGGGCCCAGATATGCAAGCTGGTGGATGAGGGTTAAGGACATTATGCTGAGTGAGATGAGGCCATAAACGGACAAACGCTGTGCAATTCTAATAGTAGAGGGTAAGAGGAGACATAGCAATGGTTAGTGTAATCCCCACTCTTTGGGGGCCAAGGAGAGGGGCTGCAGGCAACCACCCAGCATAGAAAACACAAGGAGGCCCATTTTGAAAAGAATTCCTGTTATAATGAGTATTTCAAAATGAATGTAGGCAAAGGTTCATTATTGACTTAAAGACTTTAATCAAGCCCATTGGGGCAAGGTTCAGACTAAACGGAGCCAGTTTGCCAGTGGGAAGTGGCCCGAGTATGCTGCCTCCTGCATTGTGTTGACGTCTGATCAGCCTGTCCTGCTGAATGACATCTGGTAGACATGAAACACTGCAGAAGCCATTGGTGATCCTGAAACACACAAATGGGAGCCTTGGGGGCTGCCCCAGAGTCTTAGGATCTGTGCTCTGAGACAAAAGTACAGTGAAAATATAAGCACCCTGGGGTGTAGCTCAGCCATATACCCCTTGCTTAGAATCTGTAAGGTCAGCCAGGCGGTGGTGGCGCATGCCTTTAATCCCAGCACTCGGGAGGCAGAGGCAGGTGGATCTTTGTGAGTTCAAGACCAGCCTGGTCTACAAGAGCTAGTTCCAGGACAGCCTCCAAAGCCACAGAGAAACCCTATCTTGAAAAACCAAAAAAAAAAAAAAAAAAAAAAAAAATCCACAAGGCCCTGGTGCCTTAGAATCCCCAATCCTTTGCACCCCTAGTATGCTAAGAGACAAAACAGAGAACCAATCCCAAATATAATTTCAAAGAATAAAGACAGTGAAAGCTAAGAAGAGTAGGCATTTTGACAATGTTTATTTAATGTGTTTCAGAGTGGCAAACTCAAATGTATAAACTGTTAGCACCAGACACCTTTAAAGTTGAGACCGAGCACCTTTCTCTATTGGTTTCCTATTTATTTTCATTTTTTCCCCAAGACAGGGTCTCTCTGTGTAGCCCTGGTGGTCCTGGAACTCCCTCAGTAGACCAGGCTGGCCTTGAAGTCACAGAGATCTGCCTGCCTCTGTTTCCTGAGTGCTGGGATTAAAGGCATGTGCCACCAAGGCCCGGCACCATTTCCTATTTCTTATGAGAGGGGAAAACACAGAATTGTAGGATGTCTGAGACAGCCCAGATAACAGATGTAAAGAAAACCAGCCTGCTGTAGTGGCTCATGCCTGTAACCCAAGCATTTGGAAAGCTGAGGGAGGAGAACAGCTGCCATGAGCTAGCCTGGGATACATGGTGAGTTCCAGGCCAACCTGGGCTACAGAGTCAGACACTGCCTTACAAGAATTAAATAGCAACCCAAAACAACCTACTGAGAGGCTAGGAAGATGGCTCAGTGGATAAAGTGTTTGGCGTGTAACCATGAGACCTAAGTTTGATCCCCAGGACCCACAGGACAGAATAGCAAAGCTAGCACAATGGTGTGCACCTGTGATCACAGCACAAGGGAGATGGTTCACAGGGCTTGCCTGATAGCCAGCACAACCAGGGAGAGAGCTGCTGTTTCAACAAGGTGCCTAGCAGATGAATGACAACCAGGGTTGACACCTTAAATCCACATGTTCACGCATACCCCACAACAAACACAAATCAACATTTACAAGCTCTCTGTGTAAGACTTCTTTCTGTGAAAAAGCCTGAGGTGTGTTTATCTTCATGTTTGTGGTTTTAAGACTGATTGATGGAGCTGGAGAGCTGGTTCAGCAGCTAAGAGCACTTAATGCTTTTTTTACTTATTATCTATATAGTGATACAGTTTTTTTTTTTAAAAAAACTTATTGTGTATACAATGTTGTATACAATGCATGTATCCCTGGCCTGCAGGGATACATGCAGGCCAGAAGAGGGCACCAGATCTCATTACAGATGGTTGTGAGCCACCATGTGGTTGCTGGGAATTGAACTCAGGACCTCTGGAAGAGCAGTCAGTGCTTTTAACCTCTGAACCACCTCTCAGGCCCAGTTCTTACTGCTCTTGCTGAAGACCCCAGGTTCAATATCCAGCACCCACATGGTGGTTTAAAACTATCTGTAACTCCAGTCTCAGGGAATCTGATGTCTTCTCCTGACCTCAGGGACATACATACACTAAGACAAAATTTTCCTTTACAAAATAAAAATGATTCTTAAATTTTATGTGCATTGGTGTTTTGCCTGCATGCAGGTCTGTGTAAGTGTGTTGGCTCCTCTGGAGTTAGACAGTTGAGTTATCTGTGGTTGCTGGGAACTGAACCTGGGTCCTTCTAAAGAGCAGCCAGTGCTCTTAACTGCCAAGCCATCTCTCCAGCCCCACGAAATAATATTTAAAAATTAAAAAAAAAACTGACCAAGGGCTACGGAGGGCTCAGCCATTAAGAACACGCCTGTCCTATTAGAAGACCTGAATCCAGTGCCCAGCACCCTCTGACTCCAAGGGCATCCCATACTTCTGACCTCCACAGGTACCTGCAAGCAAGCTCATATGCCCACACAGACATGCACACATTTAAAAACAGACATGCACATGCCCACACAGATGACATGCACACATTTAAAAATAATAAATCTTGAAAGACTTACTAACTTACCAACAAAATTTTATTTAAAAATAAATCAATTCCCCAAAGTGTGATTATAAAGTCTCATTTCTCCACAGGACCCGGAAAACCATGGCTGCTAATAAAGGAATGGCCATAGGCATCGACCTAGGCACCACCTACTCGTGCGTGGGCGTGTTCCAGCACGGCAAGGTGGAGATCATCGCCAACGACCAGGGCAACCGCACGACCCCCAGCTACGTGGCCTTCACCGACACCGAGCGGCTGATCGGAGACGCCGCCAAGAACCAGGTGGCCATGAACCCCCAGAACACTGTTTTTGATGCCAAACGTCTAATTGGCAGGAAGTTTAATGATCCTGTTGTACAGTCGGACATGAAGCTTTGGCCATTTCAAGTGATCAACGAAGCGGGCAAGCCCAAGGTGCTGGTGTCCTACAAAGGAGAGAAGAAAGCCTTCTACCCCGAGGAGATCTCGTCCATGGTGCTGACGAAGATGAAGGAGACTGCAGAGGCTTTTCTGGGTCACAATGTCACCAACGCGGTGATCACGGTGCCCGCCTATTTCAATGACTCGCAGCGCCAGGCCACCAAGGACGCGGGTGTCATCGCCGGACTCAACGTGCTCAGAATTATCAACGAGCCCACGGCGGCCGCCATCGCCTACGGGTTGGATAAAGGAAGTCATGGGGAGAGGCACGTGCTCATCTTCGACCTGGGGGGCGGCACGTTCGACGTGTCCATCCTGACGATCGACGACGGCATCTTCGAGGTGAAGGCCACGGCGGGGGACACCCACCTGGGCGGCGAGGACTTCGACAACCGGCTGGTGAGCCACTTCGTGGAGGAGTTCAAGAGGAAGCACAAGAAGGACATCAGCCAGAACAAGCGCGCGGTGCGGCGGCTGCGCACGGCCTGCGAGCGCGCCAAGAGGACCCTGTCGTCCAGCACCCAGGCCAGCCTGGAGATCGACTCCCTGTTCGAGGGCATCGACTTCTACACGTCCATCACGCGGGCGCGGTTCGAGGAGCTGTGTGCAGACCTATTCAGAGGCACCCTGGAGCCCGTGGAGAAGTCCCTTCGGGACGCCAAGATGGACAAGGCTAAAATCCATGACATTGTCCTGGTGGGCGGCTCCACGCGCATCCCCAAGGTGCAGAAGCTGCTGCAGGACTACTTTAACGGACGGGACCTCAACAAGAGCATCAACCCGGACGAGGCGGTGGCCTACGGGGCGGCGGTGCAGGCGGCTATTTTAATGGGTGACAAGTCTGAAAAGGTACAAGATTTGCTTTTGTTGGACGTGGCTCCCCTGTCTCTAGGACTGGAGACGGCGGGCGGCGTGATGACTGTTCTCATCAAGCGCAACTCCACCATTCCCACCAAGCAGACGCAGATCTTCACCACCTACTCGGACAACCAGCCCGGCGTGCTGATCCAGGTGTACGAGGGCGAGCGGGCCATGACGCGCGACAACAACCTGCTGGGCCGCTTTGACCTGACTGGAATACCGCCTGCACCTAGGGGCGTGCCCCAGATCGAGGTGACCTTCGACATCGATGCCAATGGAATTCTCAATGTCACAGCCATGGACAAGAGCACCGGCAAGGCCAACAAGATCACCATCACCAACGACAAGGGCCGGCTGAGCAAGGAGGAGATCGAGCGCATGGTGCAGGAGGCCGAGAAGTACAAAGCCGAGGACGAGGGCCAGAGGGAGAAAATCGCGGCCAAAAATGCCTTAGAGTCCTACGCGTTTAACATGAAGAGCGCCGTGAGTGACGAGGGTCTGAAGGACAAGATCAGCGAGTCCGACAAAAAGAAGATACTGGACAAGTGTAACGAGGTCCTTTCCTGGCTGGAGGCCAACCAACTGGCTGAGAAAGACGAGTTCGACCATAAGAGAAAAGAGTTGGAGAACATGTGTAACCCGGTCATCACCAAACTCTACCAGGGAGGGTGCACAGGGCCCACCTGCGCACCGGGGTACACGCCCAGCAGGGCTGCCACAGGCCCCACCATCGAGGAAGTAGATTAGCATTTTCTGGACCTACAGGGTGCTAGGGTGCTTCTAGGTGAATTTTATTCATCTTCAAACATCGCTATGACTCTTGAGCTGACTGGACACGAGCCTAAGTCACCATCCTTTGGGATTCTGATGGAGAAGTCTCCATTCTACCTTTTCATGCCCCCACCCTCGCGCTATGATCCTGAAATGGACCTTTAGGAAACAAGGCCCCTCTGAACCATTTGAAGAATTTGGATGTCTGCTATTTATTAGCCACGCCCCACCCTCTCCTCCTCCTGTGTGGATGGTTGTTTGTCTCTCAGTAAATTTTTTCCCAAAGGAAACACTTCTGGTATCTATTTACTGAGTCATGGCCCTACAGCGTATGTCTAGATTCGTCAACACTATGTAGGCCAACTTGGCCTTTTACTTGGAGCAATTCTCCTGTCTCTGCCACCCGAGTTCTGAGATTACAGGCATGCTCCACCATGCCCAGCTTTTTTTGTTTTTTGTTGTTCGTTGGAGGCAGGGTTTCTTGTAGCCCAGGTTTGCTTCAGATACTCAGCATCCAACAGTGACCTGCTCGTATCTCAGCCAGCTTGTTCCCTGATATCTTTAAACTGTCGATGTTCCCCAAAATGTAAGAAAGGGGATCTCACATAGGACATGAATTTTGTTTAGGAGTTTGTTGTGAATGATTAACCTGCTAAGGGCAAAGGACTTGGGCTTTAAGTTCAGCCTTTCCAACAAAACTATTTTGCCTTTTTTGTTTTTGTTTGGAGACTGGGTCTTATGTAGTCTAGGTGTGCTTTGAACTGTTCATGCTGCATTATGACTGGAATTACAGAACATTACACCTGCCAAGAAAAAAAAATCCCTAATTTTCTGGCACCCTGGGCCCATATAAATCAGTTGGTGACTGTGGTTACTTCTAATAAATGTGGTTACTTCTTCTAATCAATGTGGTTACTGCTTCTAATCAATGATAAGCTGACTTAGGTTCAAATTCAGATTCTGTAGAACTTGGTAACAAGTCTGGCTTGATATCCCGATGGATCCAGATCTGAGCAAAGTGATCAGTGCTGGGGACGCAAAGTGGGAAGGATCTTTGCAGACAGGTCTGTCAGCTGCAGGGTCTATGACAAAGCCTATCTCAGAAAAACAAGATAGGGCTGGAGAGATGGCTTAGTGATTAAGAACATACATTGCCGGGCATTGGTGGCGCACGCCTTTCGCACGCCTTTAATCCCAGCACTTGGGAGGCAGAGGCAGAGGCAGGGGGATCTCTGAGTTCGAGGCCTGGTCTACAAGAGCTAGTTCCAGGACAGCCTCCAAAACAATACAGAGAAAGCCTGTCTGAAAACAAAACAAGAGAAACAAACAACAAAAAAAGAATTTGGGGGCTGGAGAGATGGCTCAGAGGTTAAGAGCACTGACTGCTCTTCCAGAGGTCCTGAGTTCAATTCCCAGCAACCACATGGTGGCTCACAACCATCTATAATGAGATCTGGTGCCCTCTGCAGGCCTGCAGGCATACATGCAGGCACAACATTGTATACACAATAAATAAAATCTTAAAATATAAAAAAAAAAGGGGGAGGCAGGGAGGAAGGGGACCTGGGATTGGGATTGACTTGTTAAATAATTTTCTTTCTAATAAAAAAAATCTGAAAAAAGAACATGCATTGCTCTTCCAGAGGACCAGGGTTTGATTCCCAGCACCTGTATGGTGGTTAAAACCTGCCTACAACTGCAGAATATCCAAGGTTCTCTTCTGGTCTCTGGGAGCACTGCACAAATGGCAAGCACACATACATGCAACAAAACACCCTTACAATAAAAAAATTTAAACAAGGTGGAAGTGACTGAAGGAAACCCAGTGTCCATCTCCAGCCTGCACACTCCAGCTCCCCTGCCCCCCTCCCAACAAACAGAGGAGACCCTGGCAGCAAGCATGCTTCAACTCCCACCCCCATACACATACAGGAAACCCTGGCTACCCTCTATTTTGGCATCCTGGCGCACTGTAGAGAATTCTACCCTGTAATCAGCAGGCGAGATGCTCAGAATTTTTGTACCTACAGCCAGCCTCAAGACAAGACAACACAAAACATTATCAAAATAGCAAGTATTTCCCTCTGTATTAGACATGATTCCCACACAAGTGCCCTCCCCTGACACAACCATTTAATTAAATAGCAACTTCCCATTTAATTACCACTAAAAACAACAAAGCTGTTCCTTCCCCTGGCAGCTCCATCCATTCTCTGAGAACTTGCCTGATGAGGCCTCCCCCCCCCATGTATTACACATGACAGCAGTTTCTCCTCCCTACACCCCCCCCAACCAAGTACTCCTCTTCTGTCGTCTCCCTTTTGGAAAGGACAGGTCTTCCATGATGTCAACCAAACATGACATATCAAGCTGCAATAAGACCAGGCACCACCCCCTCGTATTAAGGCTGGAAAAGGTCACCCAGAAGGTGTAAAATGGTCCCCAAAGCAGGCAAAAGAGTCAGAGACAGCTCCTGTTCCCTCTGTTCCGAGTCCCATAAGAGGACCAAGCTATACAACCATAACATGTGCAGAAGGCCTAGGTCAATCCCATGCAGGCTCCTTGGTTGTGAGCTCAGTGTGTGTGTGAGCCTCTGTGAGCCCAGGTTAGTTGGTTCTGTGGGTTTTCTTGTGGTGCCCTTGTTCCCTCTGTCTTAAGAACCTTCCTCCCACCCGAGCTAACATGGGGTTAGCTCGTTAAACAACTATAATAAAGCCTCGTGCAGTTTGCATAAAAAAACAAAACAAAACAAAAAAAGATACTTCCTCCCATCTTCTGAAGGATTCCCAGAGCTCTGCCTAATGTGTGGCTGTGGGTCTCGGCATCTGTTTCCTGCTGAGGCTTTTGTGGTGTGTTTTATTAAATTCTCCATTTTCATCAGTCAGCTCTTCTGAACTCCTTCACAACCAGAATGTTTTCAAGCCTGTTAATGCTGTTCCCAGAACACCCAAAGCAGTATTTGGAGGTGAGCTATTAGAAAATATTTCAGGGCTGGAGAGGTGGCTCAGCAATTAAGAGCATGTGTTGCTCTTCCAGAGGACCCAGATTCTAGTCCCCCAGCACCCACAAGGTGGCTCACAACAGAGCGCCACTCCCACTCCCAGGGATCTGAAGCCCACCTCTTACCATCGCTCACATAGTGTACAGGTGACATGCAGGCAAATATGCCCATACACATAAAAGTTAAAAGAAATGACAGGTGTAATGATGGGGGCGGTCCTTCTGTGAATATGTTTGTCTTATTGGTTGATAAATAAAGCACTGTTGGCCAATAGGGAATCAAAATAGGCAGGACTAGAAGAGAAGGAGGATTCTGGGAAATATAGGAAAGAGGGGAGTCACCATGCGATCCCAGGAATAGAGGATGCTTAAGGTCGACCTCCTCAGTAAGCCCCTATAACTATATAGATTAGTAGTTATGGTTGAAAATAAAGACTGAGCTAGCAACTAAGAAATCCTAGTCATTGGCCAGCAGCATTGTAAGTAAAAAAGTTAAAAAAGAAAATGCGATTTCTACCTGTGAGCTACAGTCTGTTTGGTTCTTTACAAACAAGGCCTGTGTAAAAGGCAAAACATATGGACACTAGAGCTGGGGTTCTTGTTCTTGGTGGTGTGCTTTTAGTGTGTTAGCCTGGGTTCCAGCCCCAGACAACCCGGTTCTCCAAATCCCACATAAGACACACCGAGGGAAACTAGCTTACTGGGAACTTTTGATAAGAATCAGGATTTGGGCCGGGCGTTGATGGTGCACGCCTTTACTACCAGCACTCGGGAGGCAGAGGCAGGTGGATCTCTGTGAGTTCGAGACTAGCCTGGTCTACAGAGCGAGTGCCAGGAGAGGCTCCAAAGCTACACAGAGAGACCCTGTGTCAAAAGAGAGAAGGAGAGAGAGGGAGGGAGGAAGGGAGGGAGGGAGGGAGGGAAAGGTTCACAGGATTTGTGGGCTGGAGAGATGTCTCAGAGGTTAAGAGCACTGGTTCAAGTCCCACAACCAGAGGGTGGCTCACACCATTTATAATGAGATCTGGCGCCCTCTTCTGGTTTGCAGGCAGAACACTAAATATACATAATAATCTTAAAAAAAATAAAAAGGTCTGTGTTCAGGCTCCCCTTATATGCCCCCGACACCGCACACGACATAGCCAGTGTGTGTTGATGTCTGTCTTACTCCCCTTGACACAGGGCTTGCTATGGCAGCTCCAGCAGGCGTGTAAACCGGAATCCTCCTGCCTCAGCTCTCTCCAGGATTCCAGGAGGGCACCAACCCTGCCCAGCACTTAGCACCATTTTAAAGAATATGCAAATCATAGCTCGCTCGAGCTTCGGGACGACCCTCAACAGGAGAGCGGGCACGAGCAGATCGCGCCATGCAGGGAAGGCGCTGCGCAGAA